TTGTTGTGGTGCCATATTCTTTCTATTCTTTAATAATGGAGTTAACGGTGCTCCGTGGGATGTTCAAAGTTTTGGATATTTTTTGATAACCCAATCCTGATTTGTAATTCTTCACAACTATGTCTCTGACCTGTTTGGAGAGCTTCTTGGTCTTCATTGTGGCGCTTGCTTAGTGACATTGCAGACTCTGGGGCCTTTCAGAACAGGTGTATACTGTATATATTGAGATCATGTGATATTTAGATTGCACACAGGTGGTTTTCATTTAGCTAATTATGTGACTTCTGAATGTAATTGGTTGCACCACATCTTATGTAGGGGCTTCATAGCAAAGGGATGAATACATATGCCCATTTTACTTCATCATTTTGAACTATATTGTGCATGTACATTACATGTAATCCAAATAGAAATGAATCTTCATTCCAGGTGGTAATGCAACAAAATAGGTAAAATGCCAAGGGGCGGGGGGGGGGGGGGGCTGAATACTTTTGCAAGCCACTGTATCTGCCACCTGTTACTAAACATCCACTGCACAGACACACCAGCACTGACTGATCGTTAACTAGCATGAATGGTGTTATCTATCTGTCAGCTGCTAGTAAACATCCATAGTGGATGTATACTGTACATCACACGGTTATATTCTACAAAGTGAGTATCTGAGAAAAGATGGTACAGTGCTGAGCCCCCATGATTCTATAAATTGAGCTTCAACCTGAGGTGGAGCTGGCAGCCAACACAAAAAGACATAAAAATGTGCTTTTAATGCACAATGCAGACACATATCAGAATTGAACCAAATACACTTGGTTCCCTGTGGGATTCAACTAAGGAGTTTTTAAATTGTGGTGATACTTCTTCTTTAAGAAAAAAAAAATTGCAGTTATGACTGGCTACATGCATGTTTGTGAGTGTGACAACAGTTCAGCATGCATATTTAGCCTGAAGCAGGCAGTTTGAGAGTAATGTGAGCATGCAGCAGGTACAGCAAGACATACTACCTAGCACAGCGACTCTGCAGGGGGCAGGCTCTTGGCAGGGGTACGTTCCATGGGATCCTCTCTCAAGCACAGGAGGGAAGACAGAACAGGTGAGAGATGCCACACACACACACACACGAGGGGGGGCTTAAGCCATTCAAAGTAAAGGCCCCCAAATGTAGCTAAAATTAACTGCACAATTCATTTGACTTGTTGGCAAAGAGAAATGAAACTTAGGAGCAAATGTAATACAAGCAATGTCATGTGTTTCAAATAAATAGATAATCACTTCTCACATATAAGATGGCATTATTTCAATTTACAAAAGGTTTGGGAGTCAAAAACTTCTTTACAGTATCTATGTTTTTTCAGAGGAGTAAGAAAAAGCATAATCTACCGGTCAAACATTTTAGAACACCACCATTTTTACAGTTTTTTTTGTTTAATCTAAGCGGTTCAATTTATGTAAATAACCTGAAATGGTACAAAGGTGAAAGAAAAACTGGCAGAAAAAAAGTTTAGGTTACCAAAAACTGAATATTGTAAACTTCAGGGTTATACAAAAAGGCTCTTTTCAAAAAACAATTAAAGAGCAAGTCCAGGTTCCCAGCAAATGTGGGAAACTGTCCACTGCAGCCGATGTACGGGACAAAGCATTTCAGCCCAGCATTCTGTAATTGTGAACAGTCACTGGTCAGTGTGGTTACTTGACCAATGAGAAGATCTTCTTGCTAAGAAGCGCTTCCCATTGGTCAGTGTGGTCAGGGGACCATGCTGACCAATGACTGCTTGCCATTTGCGAGCATTATTCCATATATAGAGTACCAGGCTGCAATGCTGTGTATGGTGTACAGGATCTACACAGACTGCAGCAGGGGAAAATGGCAGTTCCCAAAGATATGACCACTCCCTTGATAGCCATTCAAGTTTATTCACCCATTCGCACTCTGTACTAAATCCCCTACGCTCTACAACACCCCTACACACCGATACCCAGGGTCTTTCTGCTCTGAAACTAAACAGATTTTATCAACACCTCTTCCTGCTACTGTGACTATAGACTAAACAGTCTTACCTTTACCAGTGATCGCTACGCGATCGACTGGTAGATCGCCATCGACCTTGTGGGCACCCCTGCCTTACACCTACGGTGGCCCCATTGGAGACAACTTTTGGGCCCCGATACTTAGTAACCCATGCTCTTTGTGTGTAGCTTTGACTTTTATCTTTCAGTTTATCCACTGATAATTCCCTACCTCATTGTACTTTTATGTTGGTTTTAGGCTATGTTTACTCCATGTCTGGAACAGATCTGCAAACCCAGTGCAGTGCATTTTTATTGTGATTTTACAGCGGTTTTTTTTAGCTTAAAATAGGCTTTCAGGTGCAGTGCAATGAGTTCCGTGAGCTTTTGATGCGTTTTTGACGCATTTTGCGCATTTCGGTGTGTTCCAGACCAGAAAAAATAAGACATGCGTTTTTTTGGTCTGGAACAGAAAGCACGGCAAAGGTGTGAACTGTAGCCCAGAAATCACATAGGGATACATTGGTATGCGTTTTTGGACCAGGAGCTAACTTTTCTGGTCTGGACAGAATCTGGACATCATGTGAACAAGCCCTAAACCAGCATAAGTCTGAAGGACAACATCTGAACTTCCGGACACTTTCTGTGAAAACAAGCACAATTATCGGTTGTGTCGGCTAATATCATGGCCTGAAGCTGCTTGCCATATCAAAGGACTATATATCTGTTAGGTTTCCCACTCACTTTCCTTCTCTCCTACCCATTCCCAACTGGTCCACCCTTTTGGAACTTTGCACTGCCTGCCTTGAGGTAACCGTTCCTCATTCCCACTGCCTGCTTAAAATATGCAGCATGGTGGGATATCTTCTATAGCAGCTCCTCTGACCTGCAGCCAAACTTCCATTATAACACATATGTACAGGGGTTAAATTCCACAAATAAAAAGCACACATAAATTATCTGCCTACAGAAGACCAGACACTCCCTGACATCTTCTCCATAAAAAAAACTACTCCTAATTCTACAATGCTAACTTTAGATCAAATAATTGTGTTGTAATCTCTTTTAAAAGAAAAAAAAATCCAGCAAATTAGCGACCCCATCGCAGATACCTTCTTTTACAGTGCTCCATCTTTGACGTAGACCTTACTATCATTTTATACTATGCACCCAATACCCGCAAAGGCCAGATTCTTCTCATAAAGAAACATGCAAAAGGCCTCTTAATTCTGGCAGATGTCACAGTATCTTGACCTAGTCAAGGATACAATAAACAAAAGGAACTCCCAAATGTAACATCTAAATAATCCTTCTGCCAAACCCAAATCATGAAATCTCTCGGACCACCGTCTGGTCAACAGTTCCCACAAAACTTACTGCAGTAATGACCATATATTTACTCTCCTTCTGTAAAGTGACTATTTTAGCAGTCCCATGGTCAAACCAAGTATCGGTACTTATCCAAAATTCTTTGATCGTTCCCAACATACCCTGCACATCTAGAAAATCAATGTCACTATTGGCTGCGGAGGACTCCTGATTAGAATTTTTAGCCTGCACAAAAAAATCTGAGATTAAATCTGGTTCTGTGCCCTTTTCTATCACCCTATGGGAAGCTTATAAAATAACAACGAGGCGACATTAATAAATATGGGAATTAAAAAGAGTAAACCCAAAGAATTGTTGCTCTTTACATTAAACTTGAGGCACTAAAAAGAGACCTAAATTGTGCACATAATGACCTCTGTTATCAAACGGGAGCAGACAAAATCTGGAGCAGTTGCACATGGCAACCAATCAGCATCTCTCTTCAGTTAGCTCATGTAAGATTTGAAAATGAGACAGAGATGCTGATTGGTTGCAGTGCAAATCTGCTCCAGTTTTGATAAATGACCCCTCTGTCTTTTCTGCAATAAATGCTTCTTACTTTCCTCCTCACAACATCTTTACACTGTACGCTGAGCTGCACATGCACAGCTCAGTATACAATCCAGGCATCTCCAGGGTGCCAGGATGAACTAACTCCCGTGAGTTTGTGAAGTCGTTGCGTCATTCCGCATTGGCTAAGAGAAGAACTGAGAGGAACGTTTCATTGCTCTTCTCAACACTCTTCTTTGTAGAAAGAATGCAACAAGTGTTTTCATCTGTTATATCTGAAAAAGGTGGCTACTTTGGTAAGTCAGAAATTTTGATTCAATTTTGTTAAAGAAAACAATTTCAGGTTTTCATTTTTGTTTTTTTATTGCAAACGGTTTTGTGGTATGCTTTAATTCCAGAGTATATTAAGACAATTAACTGTGAAAATTAACAAAAACTGGAAAAATAGGAGTGTTCTAAAATGTTTGACCAGTGGCATATGTATAATACTGTGTGTCCTAACCAGAGTTAGGTCTTCAGGAACCACTAACAGCTCATGTTTTCATGCAACAGTAAAATTACTTTAATAGTCTCTAGTCACATAGCTATAAGGACACCACCATCCCCCATGTAAAAATACATGGGCCTGCTGATAGATCATTTGGTCAGCAGGTAATACATTCTTGGATGGGAGCAGGAAGACATGCGTCTTCTAAGCTATAAAGAACTGAATACATATTAAGGTAGCACTGTGCTGCACTGGAGGGAAAAATATAATGAAAACGTTTGTTATGCTGTCAGTTATTTGTTACAGCTTATTTATAACTGACACAGGTTTGCTATAAACAACAAAGTGCCTCTTCTAACAGAAAATAAATCTATAAGTACATTGGTTAAATAGCATCTCAATTGTGCCTGGTTAACCTGAGAAAGTCACACATCTTACTAAAAAGTATGAACATATACTTCAAATAAAACATTGTAGGCTTAAATTAAGTTATGCTTGCACAATAAAATATAACCATTTCTTGTTACATCACTGTGCAGAAGGCAAAATCGCTTGTATATTATATGGGAAAATAATCACATTCACTGGTTTATATGTGGAAATCTACATCTACCAAAAGTTTACTGACCTTGAAAGTATATTTACGGCTGATGTTATCCGATGGATGAACAGGAGAGATACGAAAGCTTAACAGGGGGATGCTTCCTAAAACCCCTTCTTCTTTTTCATCTGAATATGAAAAGTGCAGAGTGAAATGTATTAAGATGATAAAGTCTACACAAGGAAATGAGAAATTATTACAATCAGACACCAGCGGAGATAACCTAACCAATAGCATGTAAACAGAACATACAGAGAGTACAGTAAATGGAGAGAAGACTGCTGATAATAAATTATTTGGTGACAAAAGGCACACACACATTTGTTTGTAAGAATACACAAGAGAAGAAGAGTGTGTTGTGAAGAGTGATCAATTCTACAGTGAGGAAACATGGGAGGGTAACATATGTCACAACAAAGCACTGGTTATACACCTAACATAACTCTTTCACTGCCGAAGAATACTTCAAACTATGCTGTTGATGGATCCTACCAAAGTTAAAATTTACTCTTGGAGTTAATGTCAGCACCTTTATGCCTGCATGTAAAAATTGGCTTTTGTAAATTCACTGGAACACACAAAACAATACAACACTAATAAATTATTTAAACCCCCTTTCTCCATGTCTGAATATAGGTAAACTGTGACCAAGTAGCAGATGGGAGTAGAGTTCTTATAGCCATCTGTCCAGACAATAAAAATAAGTTTCCACTAGATTACTAGGCAGGTGTTGGAACAAAGCCAATTGCTATGTACCTTTGTAATAGAAGAGGCAACGATCGACAAGGACAAACCAGCGTTTGTTCCACTGCTTTACTCCAGAGCTGGCCTGCAGACAACAGAGACGGGAACAATCAAAAGGAAAGCGACAAAAGTCATGTACTTTGATAAAGACAGTTAGAACTTAACTTAGAAGGTAGGTAGGACAAACATATGAGAGAAAGACGTGACTGAGGCACAGAGGTGGCATCATACGACACATATGGCCTGTATACATTGGGTATGAATCAAAAGACATTGTATGAATGGAAACAGCATTGGCAACAATACATATGAAATAGGTAACATGAAGTTAATAACTTAAAGTACAGCTACAGTTTTTTTTTTTATTGCAAAGACTCTGAAACTGCAAGTTAAATATTGTGCAAGAATACACACCTCTGTTTTATGTAATCTTTGCCTCAAAAAGCTATGTCATCTTTGCCTCAAATGAAGCTGTCTGTTAAAACTACATTTATCCTTTGCCAGGAACAAGGTCAGTTCTGAACCCACTCTGACCCTCCCTCACTACTGCAATTTTATCAGCCAGTTGTGCTTACTTGTTTTACTAAATGGCTCAGCTGCACTGGCCATCTTCAAGCAACTTTTACAACAACCAAAACACAACGAGATACAAATTGTCAGAATTCATCATACTCTGGGCCGGGATTTGGAAATTATTCTTCTCCAGTATCTGTCCAGGCATCGTGTATAGAACATGATGAATTAGGGGACCTTAAAACGTTGCTATGGAGCAAACCGGCTCCTAGGATGAGGAGAGTATAACTTTTTAGCACCTAGACAAAAAGGAGCACGTAACCCTTGCAGTGCGGGGGTTACTGCAAGGGTTAAGAAAAATTCTGCCCAGAGTTGTGCTTTAAAGATTTGGGAGACTTCCCAAATCTTTTAAGCAAATTGAGCTGCCTCAGGTGTCTCTTCCAAGCTTTCTCTGAAACCATCGATGCCTGGTCTTCCATCCTCCATGGACTGGCAGCTATGTTGTGGTAAGAAATAAATCTCATTCGAACCCAGCTCTTCCTCTGCCACCTGACTTTTGTTGTCATTTGTTTGAGATGTCAACTAGATTGGGCCTTACTGGCTACTGTTTCCACCTGTATTTCAGTTAACTAATTCCATGTACATTTTCAGTGTTGTCTCCAAGTTTAGTTTCCCGTTTGGACTTGGACTCTACTCACTATGGTTTTCCCACTAACGGACACTATGTTTTCTTTCCCATGTCTTTTCCTTCATTTTGATCACTACCTTCCACCTCCCTGGATCTCATGTAATGTCCGGGTTGGACACTGGATTGTTTTCTTTGTGAGACCTCTGCCTTCGTTTTACTATTTTTATTCAAATTACCCAATTTAAATTGTTTGCCGCTTAATGAATACAATGCTAACAATCATATTTGTTAAATGTTTATATTGGGAGTGGGAGCCCCACTAATGACTTCAGTGACCCCCTCCTAGGACTCTCCGTGCTCAGTGTTTGTCTGGCACTGTTTTCTTTCTTTGAATTTAGGGATATCCTAATTAGTGTATTTGACTGTTATTGCACTTTTGCTCTTCCCCACTAGGCGGGGTTACAAGCACACTCAAATTTGGTAGTTATGCTGTCTATTTCATCTTCTCTTCCTTCCTTTTTCCTTTCTTCTTTCTATCTACCCTTTTACATTTCAGTTCCAGTTTCATTCATTTCATTTCTTGAGATGGTGAACCTATCTATCCTAATGTCAGGGATTGTTATAATAGGATTCCTCCCCTTAAATGCCCAATGTCTAACCCTAGCCCTCTAGAAGTGGAGTCAGATTCTGTATCATTTCCATAAATGTAGAACTGATGTCCTATTTCTCCAGGAAACACATTTTAAGTCTGATAAACTGCTTATGATGCATAACAACTACAGGTGAAACTCGAATAATTAGAATATCGTGCAAAAGTTCCTTTATTTCACTAATGCAACTTAAAAGGTGAAACTAATATATGAGATAGACTCATTACATGCAAAGCAAGATAGTTCAAGCCGTGATTTGTCATAATTGTGATGATTATGGCTTACAGCTCATGAAAACCCCAAATCCACAATCTCAGAAAATTAGAATATTGTGAAAAGGTGCAATATTCTAGGCTCAAAGTGTCCCACTCTAATCAGCTAATTAAGCCATAACACCTGCAAAGGGTTCCTGAGCCTTTAAATGGTCTCTCAGTCTGGTTCAGTAGGAATCACAATCATGGGAAAGACTGCTGACCTGACAGTTGTGCAGAAAACCATCATTGACACCCTCCATAAGGAGGGAAAGCCGCAAAAGGTAATTGCAAAAGAAGTTGGATGTTCCCAAAGTGCTGTATCAAAGCACATTAATAGAAAGTTATGTGGAAGGGAAAAGTGTGGAAGAAAAAGGTGCACAAGCAGCAGGGATGACCGCAGCCTGGAGAGGATTGTCAGGAAAAGGCCATTCAAAAGTGTTGGGGACTTTCACAAGGAGTGGACTGAGGCTGGAGTCAGTGCATCAAGAGCCACCACACACAGACGGATCCTGGACATGGGCTTCAAATGTCGTATTCCTCTTGTCAAGCCACTCCTGAACAACAAACAACGTCAGAAGCGTCTTACCTGGGCTAAAGAAAAACAGACCTGGTCTGTTGCTCAGTGGTCCAAAGTCCTCTTTTCTGATGAGAGCAAATTTTGCATCTCATTTGGAAACCAAGGACCCAGAGTATGGAGGAAGAATGGAGAGGCACACACTGCAAGATGCTTGAAGTCCAGTGTGAAGTTTCCACAGTCTGTGTTGATTTGGGGAGCCATGTCATCTGCTGGTGTTGGTCCATTGTGCTTCATTAAGTCCAGGGTCAACGCAGCAGTCTACCCGGAGATTTTGGAGCACTTCATACTTCCTTCCGCAGACGAGCTCTATGGGGATGCTGACTTCATTTTCCAGCAGGACTTGGCACCTGCCCACACTGCCAAAAGCACCAAAACCTGGTTCAATGACCGTGGGATTACTGTGCTTGATTGGCCAGCAAACTCGCCTGACCTGAACCCCATAGAGAATCTATGGGGCATTGCCAAGAGAAAGATGAGAGACATGAGACCGAACAATGCAGAAGAGCTGAAGGCCGCTATTGAAGCATCCTGGTCTTCCATAACACCTCAGCAGTGCCACAGGCTGATAGCTTCCATGCCACGCCGCATTGAGGCAGTAATTGCTGCAAAAGGGGCCCAAACCAAGTACTGAGTACATATGCATGCTTATACTTTTCAGAGGTCCGATATTGTTCTATGTACAATCCTTGTTTTATTGATTGCATGTAATATTCTAATTTTCTGAGATTGTGGATTTGGGGTTTTCATGAGCTGTAAGCCATAATCATCACAATTATGACAAATCACGGCTTGAACTATCTTGCTTTGCATGTAATGAGTCTATCTCATATATTAGTTTCACCTTTTAAGTTGCATTAGTGAAATAAATGAACTTTTGCACGATATTCTAATTATTCGAGTTTCACCTGTATTTTCCCACATGGTTCCACAATACTAATGCTCACTCATGCTCCAAGAGGGTCTCCATGGCCTTTCATAAGTCTTGTCCTCCAGAGGTTTTGCAGCAATGGATTGATACTCAGGTTAGGTTTATAATTCTTAAAATTAAACTTCAAGAAATTGTTTACACACTAGTCAATGTTTATTTTCCTAATTCTAGTTCATTTCTTGACCTCTCTAATCTCCGCCTTGGAGGAATTCAGTTCACACAACTTGGTGATTGGAGGTGACCTTAACCTGGCTCTAGTGCCACGACTTGACTACTCCTCGGGTAAGTCTTCTATTTATTACGATTCATTAACCGCTTTTAAGCGTCATTTACTTCGACTACGAGTGGTAGATGTGTGGCGAGTGTTACATCCCTCCAATAAAGACTTCACGCATTATTCTTTTGCTCACGGATCCTTTTGTTGGTTAGATTTTTGTCTTTATTGGATGTGACCCTCACTTCTCGTATAAGCCTACAGCTATTGTCTGATCATGCTCCCATACACCTCACGCTTGTCCATGCTCGTAGACATACTAGCTCCTTTTCCTGGAGCATCAATGACAATGCTGTTCTTATGGAGGTGATTACTGAGTCTATCAGCGATTTCCTGGCAAATCACAAAGATGACGAGACTCACCCGCTCATGCAACGGTAGGCTTAAAAGTGAGTCCTGCGTTGCGTCTTTATCTACCATGGTTCCCGCCTTAAGAAAGAACATTCCTTATGAATTAAATCTCTGCTGAAACGGATTGTTATACTTGAGGCACTTCATAAACATGACTTGCTTCTTGCCGGCTTACTTGAACTCCCTACCCTCGAAATACTACAAACTAGCTAAAAAGTGAGGGCACACACTAGCACAAGTGCAACCACCTCAGGGTACAGAGGATTCCTGTCTAAGATACTGCCCACCCCACTATTGTATCTACAGTAGGTCTTCCTGTCGCGATGATACATCTTGTGCCGAATTTATTTTGCTGCATCATTTGGTATCATCAACAAACACTGAAATTGAACTCTTAATTACAACCTCACTTTCATAAATAAAGTTAAAAAACATTGACCCCCAAGACAGAGCCCTGGGGCACACCACTGGCAATCTTAGTCCATTTAGAGAATGAACTATTGATCATTACTCTTTGGAAACGTTCCTGTAACCAGTTTTTTATCCATGTCCACACAGTTTTCTCTACACCAATAGACCTTTTTTGTAAACTAAACCTTTTTGTCCTGGTTCTGTTGAGGGTTTAAATAGATATTTAAGATTTTGAGTCGGCCAAAGCGTTTATATACATGGAAGATCGAAGGCAGGCTGCTGTACAGGTTAATGAACAGGTTAATGAACAGAGTAGCAATGTATGTAACCTATACAATGTATTCAGGCTACAACAAATACAGGGTACAACAAATACAACATTGTAGGTGTGAAAGAAAGTCAAACATGAGACTGCAATGCTCTATAAAGTGAATAGGAGTTGGAAAAAACACCATTGCCCGAGCTGTGCTGGGGGAAAAAAATCCCCTATACTTTGGTATGCCTGACATGTGTAGAGGGCAAAGACATGTGGGGAAGCTGAAGACAGACAGAAAAGACAATAAGAGAAGGAGGGGGGGGGAAGGTCCTTACATACAGGTCAGGAAGATAAGTTTTAGTAATGGGGGTAGTTCCATAAGGACTGGCATGTATAGGAAGTGACAGTGACAAGAGTAGGAAGGAGGGTGGAGGGTTAGTAAGTACGGTAGGCAAGGTTAATTGATGAGTGAAGCTTAAACCAATAATACTAGGTAGACCAGGTTAGAATTTAATCTCCCTGCCCTTGAGGGAACTAGTCAGGTCTTCTATGGTTTTAATATCATTTACCCGATCCAGCTAATGTTTCACCGTCAGAGGGGAGGGTTGTTTCCATAGAGCTATACTACAAGTAGAATTAACCATATGGATTAAAACTGATGGTTTGTAGGATTTTAGAGAAATTGAGTCATTGTGGGAGAAAACAGCTCTTTGGTAATCGGGGAGTCAGTGAATTTCCGAATAACAGTATGCACTTGATGACAAAAATTACCCAGTTTGGGCAGGACCAGAAGAAGAGCATCAAGTCTTACGGAGATAAGTTGCAGCATCAACACAGGTTTGGAAAGTTAGGAAAAATGGTGTGAAGTATTTGATTGAGAGTAGAAGATATAAAGTCTCCAAGCAGAGAGAAGGTCCTTGTCTGTCTGGAGAAAGTTTATAAGAAAAGAGGGCACACGTGCCAGGCCGAATCCTGTACATTCCTGTTTAAAAGGTAGAAGAGGCCGTTTGAAGGCAGGGGTTTAGTGTAAAAAGTCTGTAAGTTGTCTCCACCACCAGTATCCAAGTGGAACAGGTCCATATCCATAAATAGGCCCAACATGAGGGACAGTCCATGTTTCCTTAAGTGTAAGGCTCTGTGTTTCCCTGAATTTCTTATTTTCAAGAACAAAGGCTGCTGGATTCCCAGAGAAAAGGATGGCCTTTCTAAGATTAGGGTTAGTTGGGACAGATGAGAGTATGCTCCATCCTCATAAAAGCGACCATGTAGGCCTGAGAGCTGGGTGCTATATAGTAGGTACATATGATGCTCCACACCAGGGAAGTACACTTAGATGCACTGGAAAGAAAGTTTGCTCTATAGAGACTTAAGAGTTTTTTATTTCTTTTTGTCTCTGCACAAGTTCACCACCCTGGTAAAGTGGATTGCAGTAAGTGTGGAAGAAATGTATGCAATTTTTGGCAGAGGTTCCTAGGGTGAAGAATTTATGCAAATTGGTTTTGGATGTGGCCTGATTCCTTCTGTCTTTTCCTTGTTTAGCTGTGCTATTGGAAAGTTTTAAAAAAATGGGTATAAGTATGCTATGTTCGCTATTAGCTATAATGAAATCCTGGAGCTCCAGATTTGTTCTCCTCACACATCCATGTCCAGGACATTTTACAAGTATGGCCATCAAGCTTGGTTCAGTCATGCACTCCTGTCCAACTCCACATGCAAATCCATCAAATGGGGGATCGCGCCAGCATTTCTTTTGTTTACCCTGAGTCACCTTGATATGGGTGTCATGATGACCCATGGTTCAGAAGGAAGTTAGTTAGCGGGTTTAGGGAGTGCCTGTTCAACAGCACCCCTTCCAGTAGACCAAAAATAACAAGAAAAGTTGGTAGGTCTTACCGAACTCTAAGTGTTTCAGTTTTCCCATCATTCCTCAGCAACAGAGCAGGGAGAACCCAGCAGTATGTTGCTCCTGCTTGTTTTAGGGTATAGTGTAGTAGTTTTAGCTACCAGCTTTCTGTGTTACAGCGCATTTGAAAGGTTCCCTGAAGAAAGAGAGAGTGCAGCCCTGCCCATTATTTTAGTGGCCATTATTTATTTTTACTACGTTTTTATGGATCTTCTAGCTCACATTCCTAGGGCATTTGGAATGGAGCTTTGGATTCATTCTGCCCATGAATTGTCTGGGTAGCTTGCCTTTCTTCTTTGGTATGTGGTGGTCAGCGGGATTATTGTGTGGGGGTCTGTTGGTAGTCCTGGTTGGCCCAGGAACTCAAGATACTCTAGCCATGCCTTTATAAACATTTTTAACTTGCAATATCAGGTGTTTACATTTAAAAAAATAGTTCTATGTGCAGTAATGGAGGATGTTGTCAAATATAAAAAAGTGGCAAACATGAATATCAACTGGGTACAAACAAGAAAGCAGAAATAATAAGTTGATACCTTTATATATGATAGCCAGCCTATTCAAATTTAATGTGCATTTCATAAACCTTTTTTATTGGTGTTACCTCTGACTCACCTGTTTGTACAGCCAGCCCATCTTTGTGACTACAGCATTTGGATTCCTTTTCATGGAGTTAGAGCGTTTCCCAAAGGCGATTCCTTTCTTGGATGGTCGAGATGGCTTTCGGGAAAAAAACAAAAACCTGTTTCATTGCCCACAGCATCTCACAAAAAATAACCCACCTCCACCATCTGTATTTTACTAGCTATGCCTGATCTAGCCTTGCTATCCAAAAAAACAGTGTTCACACCTGTGTATACAGTACTCTAGACTACAAAATTAAAAGCAGAACATCTTGATTATAAATGTAAAAACAAGGGAGCCAGCAATGCTCATTTCTGTATTGTAAGGTCAAGGAGGGGGGGATTTTAGGCTTTAATGTCACTTTAACTCCCCTATATCTACTAAAAACTAAAATTCCTGTTTTGGGTGAACTGAATTATAGCTCCGTGTTCAATAATTTTGATGAAACAGAATAAAGAATAATATGTTAACATTTTATTGCTGGTGTCAACCAGTGCTTGATTATATTAGTCCTCAAGGGACTATATCTGGGATACGTCTTAGGATGCACAAAATCTATCTACTACTATACTACTACTAATACTATTATACCAAAGCATCAGCTATGAGCTGTCATAATTATTTACACACTGTAACATATAGGCAAAGCTTACCCTAATGCCGGGGCCATCTGGATGGGCATCAGGGACCATGGTGTATATAGAGTTCTCACTGGACAGATTAGAGGTGCGCTTTCTACCTGTCTCAGCACTCATCTCAGATCTGAGTAAGAAAAATGAAATGCAGGAATGATATAACCGCATAAACTGTATTGTATTCTTAAAAATGGGATATAGTAAACTCACCCGGGCAGTTCACTTTCCTGCACAATCAGTCCAGTCACTGGGTGCAGAAGTATGATAAGACATTCATTGTGACTACGAAACAAAAAATAATGGCCATTATAAGAAGAGATCTTAACATGTAAATTGGATTTCTATACTGCAGTCCATTTTCTCTGCATTTCTATAATTCATTTTAAATAGAGGACAGGATGGCACATTGCTGGTTATGAAGAAGATTGTAAAGAGTTGGTGTTTTGCTAGAAAAACATCTAATTTGTGTAAAAACATCCAATTGAAAATATGTCTAAAGCGTATGCATAGCCAAAACATTTTAACATTTTGCATAGAAGACAGTCCCATGGGGTATATTTCCCTTACTTCTTGCTCTAGAGACACAATAGAACATGAGAGGAACTCTCGATAAAGTGAGGGAAATTCCTCTATTAGATAGCTGTCACTAACATTGTTGTCATTTGAAGATGTGCCCTGTAAATCCTCTTTAGGTGACAACTGTAAAAGTTTGGTTTCCATCATTTTCTATCCCCTCATAAAGAAAAAAAAATGTTTAATTGTACGCACACTAAACTTCTAAGTCCCCCTTTTACTACTCCATGTAATGCCCAATATGCAACATTCATGAAATAGATACCATGGTTTTACACAAATATTGATGTAAATTCTGCAGCCTCCAAAATCTTTTTTTTTCATTCAAAGTTAACACCTTTAGTAATACTTTAAATAACAAATACATAAAAAGGGTAATCATCTAGTTTTCATAGGAGTGCATCCAACAAATCAAACAAAACAGCCCAGTTTATTTCACCATAAACCATATCTATTCTTACCCATTTTAAAAGAGCTTTATGTCACTATTAAGTCTTGCTGGTGATAGCGTTTTTCATTTATTAGTCCGGACTCAGCCCTTGACATTTTGTAAATATAATTTCCTCCTCTACAGTCATCTGTGAATCTTTCAAATTTCCCCAAAATGTTCCCTTGGCGTGACTTGCATATATTTTTCCTTACAATGCTTTAAAAAGAGATGTTTATTTTATGTTTGCATCTAATCTTATAAAAATGTTTTCACAATCTCATTCTGAGTTCATTTTGGTTCATCCAATATATAATTTATTGCAAGGACATAGAATGACATGTATCACACATTTAGTGTTCCAAGCTATGCGATCCTTAAACACATACTATTGAGAATTTGAATGGGATCAAAAATTCCTAATTTTTTTATAGCTCCAATTTCTTGAATTATCCATGCTTGGGAATTAAGTTTCAATACTATTTAAAACATCTAAGGGGTCTATTCACAAAGCTGCCGAGGGCAGCCGAGTGAATGACCGATCAGAAGTGAAGTGAGCCGAACACTGTTCGGCTATTCACTTCAGGCTGGTACGGCTGATTTCAGCCGTATATCGGCTGAAATCAGCCGTACATCGGCTTGCTTCGTGTGGATTCGGATCAGCCGAACATGCTCAGCATGTTCGGCTGACCCGAAGTGCAGAAGGAGTTCGACTCAGCCGATCCAACATCTGGATCGGCTGAGCCGAACCTCCGGCAGGCTTCTCACTGCTGTTCGGGCTATTCTGAAAGATCCCGAAAAGCAGTGAGAGAATAGCCGAATGCCGCAGAGCGGCATTTGGCTCGGCTGTTCTGCTCGGTCCCTCAGAGGCACCGAGCAGAACAGAAAAAGAGTGAAAAAAGTAGAAAAAAGTAAATAGAAAACGATTGTGCAGAGCTAGCAGTGACAGCTAGCTCCGCCCAATAGTTTCCTATTGTCCGGCGGCTCTGCTGCTGTAAAAAAATAAAAATAAAAAAAATCCCCCGGGCGCTCTGGGAGCCCCCGCTCCTGGCCGCCAAGAAGAGAAACCCGCTATGTCTTTTTTTTCCTTTATTCTGACACGAGCATGTCAGAAAACAGAAAAAAAAAAAAAGACGAATTCCCATTCAAAAGCATTGGGAGTTTACTATTGGCTATTTCAATTTGCAATTTGCAAATTTTGCAGGAGACTCCCGGGGCGCCAGGGAGAGTTAGATGTTTGGAGATCAGTGTCCCTGGTTAGCAACCAGGGACGCTGATCTCTCTGAAAGTGGCCGGAGCCAGCCGTAAGATCACGGCTGGCTCCGCCCAGCTGTCAGAAGCAGGCTGTTGTGAATAGCCCGTACAGCACCCCCTCGGTTCTCCTGAACCGAAGGGGTCCTGGGGCCGAAGCCAGCCGAAGGATCGGCCAAAGCTACGGCCAGATCCTTCGGCAGCTTTGTGAATAGACCCCTAAGTGTCATAGTGTTGCTTGCTAGTTGTTATCAATGATTTCTTTTTGAGCAACGGAAACATTATGTTTTCCATTTTCCAATGCAGTTACTTTTTTTTTTGTTTTATGTATCCTTCCCCGGGTAACCTTAGCATCATATTTATTCTTATATGTTTTGCCGCACAAGATCTGCCTTATCTGCATACATCTAACCTGGAAATGTGTTCAGGTTGAGGGGAGCGTCAGTACAAGACAGAACAAAACACTCTGAAAAAAACTTGAACATCAAAACAAGCTTCTGTGTGGACATTTTTTTCATACACTCTTACATTCACACACACTGGTCTTGTCCCACTCCACCCCATAAAACCTATTTATATTCATGAGAGCGAACTACAATGTTACACTTTTAGCAGGTCTCTGCATAAAGCCTTAGGCTACATTCACATATGAGCAGTTTTCCACACGTAAATACACGCGGAACCGCAGTAAACCTAAAAAACAATGCATTGCATTGTGCATTGTTCAGACTCTTCCCGCAAAATAGTCCAAGCGCGATTTTATGGGCAGATTCCGCACCTTCCGGCTATAGTATTAGCCGCAAACGTATGTTAACGTTTGCACGGTTTCGTTCCGTGCAGTTCTGCAAGAAGTGAGCTTGGAGCGTTGGCTACTTTACAACACACAGGAACCATGGGTGACAAAAGTAGCCACCCTCCAGAAGGAAGTACAGCGAACTGATACACAAATAAGATACATTTTTGATAATAGTTGGGGTACTTGAATGCATTTTTAATATTTAACTGAGTTTAGTGTCACTTTAAATATCACCTTTGGAATAAAATCAACTTAGACACAACCTGACCACACCAGCATGAATCTGCACATAGATTCTGACTGCCTAAGATGTAGAGAAATAAAAGAGCACAAAGACTCATCTGAGTGCAGGAGAAAATTGCTTCCACTTCTTAAAGGAGAACTATGAGATGAGTGATTTCCACTCACCTCATAGTTCTAGCCGACCTGTGACAATGAGAATGTCACAGGTCGGCTCAGTAGATCGGGAGGTGAGGGAAAACATACCGGGTTCCCTCACCTCTCGATCCTGTCACGGCTCTCTGCCGTGACAGGGGGAGGGGCTGGATTCCCCCCTCCGATCTGCCAGCGCTGACTGGCGGAACGGACGGGGGAGGGGACGGGTACAGCTGGCTCTGCCTCTAGGTAGGCAGAGCCAGCTGTCACTCACGCAGCTGGGCGGATCCCGTCATCTACGTCGGGATCCGCTCCAGGTGCGGCGTCTCAGTATACCGCGAGCTGTAGCTCGCGGTATACTGAGCTTAGGGTGACGGGGGGACGCTAATTTGTGTCCTCCCGTTACCCTAAGGAGAACTATGGGGAAAAACACTGACCCCATAGTTCTCCTTTAAATATCATACAGTATGTACTTGTCAACCCGTAGTTTTTTTTTTTTGGGCAACTGCTGTCTTTTTGCCCAGTCTCAGCATTACTGACTTTCCAACTAGTTCCTACTTAAATGCCTGAAGGGCACAGAATGCTGCCCTGTATATTAAAATGTTTGACATAACCTTCTGCTCGGGAAGGGCCAGATTCACTTATAGAGGAAGACTATTTGGAATGGCCTGATATTGAGCCCATCTTATTAGTGGAATTGTGAATGCCAAATTATGAGTAATAAGGCTGCTTTCACTCTGGGTCACAAGACTGGAAGCTTTTCCCTTGAAAGGTGACTGTCCCAGGGTTGTAAAAAAAAGTAAGCACATGGTATATTAGAGTCTGAGATGGCAAAGCTGGCTTTTCTTGTAATTTATCAACCAGTTAAGCTTGGTTAATGTGAATGTGGCTACTTCTTGATGACAGAGAATAGCTTTCCTATCTTTATTTGGTTAGAAGAATGTCACCTAGGTAGTGGAACCTTCTCAGAGAAATTCATAGTTGCTCTCAGGATTTCTGTTAAGGTGCTGGTGCCTGGTGCTGAGTGCCAGCTTGAGGTGGGGCAATGGCCGCAAGGGAGCTCCATCCATACATGCATTGCTTACAGCTTCCTTACAAGTACTGTAGAGGTGCCTGGACCATCACAATCTGGCTCCGGAAACACTACAGGGCACACAAGGGAGCTGTACCAGCAATTCACATATGGATGGAGCTCTGTCACAGCACAGCATCCCACAATGGACCCCAGGCTGAGGATCCACTCATTTAAAATAAAATACTGCTACCATAAATGCCTTGCACCTACTCCTACCATAAATGCCTTGCTCCTACCCCTATCTAGAGGCAGAGGTCTTTACAACACACAGGAACCATGGGTGACAAAAGTAGCCACCCTCCAGAAGGAAGTACAGCGAACTGATACACAAATAAGATACATTTTTGATAATAGTTGGGGTACTTGAATGCATTTTTAATATTTAACTGAGTTTAGTGTCACTTTAAATATCACCTTTGGAATAAAATCAACTTAGACACAACCTGACCACACCAGCATGAATCTGCACATAGATTCTGACTGCCTAAGATGTAGAGAAATAAAAGAGCACAAAGACTCATCTGAGTGCAGGAGAAAATTGCTTCCACTTCTTAAAGGAGAACTATGAGATGAGTGATTTCCACTCACCTCATAGTTCTAGCCGACCTGTGACAATGAGAATGTCACAGGTCGGCTCAGTAGATCGGGAGGTGAGGGAAAACATACCGGGTTCCCTCACCTCTCGATCCTGTCACGGCTCTCTGCCGTGACAGGGGGAGGGGCTGGATTCCCCCCTCCGATCTGCCAGCGCTGACTGGCGGAACGGACGGGGGAGGGGACG